TACAATATATATTTTTTCAACAATTTTGCATATTTTTTATTTGGTTTTTAATGTTTATATTTATTTATTTCAATTTAAACTAAAAGTTTGTCCGACCGATGACGGATGTGTCTGACATTTTCTTGTATGAAAAAAACAAGTGCATGTCAGATTGAATTTTACGGTTTATTAAAATTGCATGAAAAGTTTACAAAAGTGTACAGATAATTAAATAATTGCTTACAAAAAACCATACATAATCGAGACTCTAATGTGCGTTTGTGGAATCAAAAAAATGTCTTACATTTCAATCAAGATATAGAAGCGAATATGGAATCGGACAGTAAACCATCAGAAATCACAAAACTACGAAAGACCGTTATTGGATCCAGCAAATACAGCAAGATACCTCGCGAAGAAGGTCGGACCAATATGTTTACATCGGAAAAGATCTCGCTGCGTTCAACTTCATCAGTTACTGACTCAATGCAGGAAGTAATATCATCTAGTAATAATGCATCTACAAGCCTCTCTCAACCACATTCTGATGTCAAGAAACCTCCTAATTCATGGCAAGTAGTCAATTTCAAAAAAAGAAAAACTTCATTTGAACCATTAGGATTAGATGTCAAAATTCAAAACAGATTTTCGGCCTTTTCAACAATAGAAACAGCTAATGATGACAACTCAGTTAAACCGGCTCCAGTCAGTAAGCCCCCTCCAATATTTATTTATGGAGTTGACGATATTAATGATATGTCTAATCAATTAAATGAAATAATTCCGCACGATCAATATTTCCTGAGAAGTTTAGCTAACAATACATTTAAAATTCTATGTAATTCTGTCGACCATTTTCGAACTTTATCCAGACATCTAAAAAACTAATGCCGTATATCATACATATCAATTAAAAGAAGAGAAGGCTTATAGGGTTGTTCTTAGAAATGTACACTTTTCAACAAGCACAGATGCAATTAAATTAGAACTATTAAAACAGGGTCATGTCGTACGTAATATCCTAAATATTAGACATAGAATAACAAAAGAACCTCTTAATATGTTTTTTGTTGATCTGGAACCAAATAGAAATAACAAAAATATTTATAACATTTATAAATTATTCAACTGCATAATACGCGTCGAACGAACCACCGAGAAAGTCCAACAACATTATACAATGCACTCGCTGTCAACTCTTTAATCACACCAAAAAATACTGCAATAGACCATTTGCTTGCCTAAAATGCGGTGACAATCATAATACTATAGCTTGTACCAAAGATCCGAATGCTCCGGCATGTTGTTATTTTTGCGACGGTGCTCATCCAGCTAATTATCGCGGTTGCTCATACTTCCAAAAATTAAAGAACAAAGAAACAAAACTCCAGTAAATCATCAGTCATAAATCCAAATCCAAATAACCAAAATTTTAAAAATTCTAATAATTCTAATTCTAATAATAAAATAAACAACATTTCTCCGGCCTTAAATCCAACAATTCAAAATTCATCCTATGCAGACATTGCAAAAAACAATTACTCTGCTTCTAATCATTCACCTTCAAATCCTGATTCTGATTCTCTAGCAACACTTATTTTAGAATTTAAAAATATCTTCAATCAGCTTTTGCAACAGAACACCATAATAATAAATATGTTATCCACGTTAGTCAACAACAAAAGCAATGGCAAAAATAATTAAAATTGCTGAATGGAATGCCAACGTTTAATACCTCACAAAAATGAAGTAGAATGTTTTTTAAAGGTAAACTTAATAGATATCTTATTAATCTCAGAAACTCACTTCACTGAAAAAAACTACTTCAAAATTTATAACTACACTACTTATAATTCAAATCACCCAAGTGGCAGGGCTCGCGGCGGTTCGGCTATATTAATCAAAAATAATATAAAGCATTTTGTTCTACCAAATATTTCTGATGATTTTCTACAAGCAACTCAAATTTCTGTTGAAACAAATTTATATAATTTTTGTGTTTCTGCTGTTTATTGTCCACCAAGATTCAAAATTTCTTGTGCTCAGTTTTCTTCATTTTTCTCTCAATTAGGTAATAAATTTATCATTGGTGGTGACTTTAATTGTAAACATATTGCCTGGGGTTCTAGACTGACTACAGCCAAAGGAAAGATTCTTCATGCAGCCATAGGGCAAAATAACCTCTCCTTTATTTCAACTTGCAGTCCAACTTATTGGCCTTCTGACCCTACTAAAGTTCCAGACCTTTTAGATTTTTTTTATTGTGAAAGGTATTGATCTTTCAAATCTCAATATTGAATCTAGTTCCGATCTCTCTTCAGATCATTCTCCAATACTTGTGACGTTTAGCACATTTCCTACTCCAGTTATCAACAATCATATTCTACACAACAATCTTTCTAACTGGATTCAATTCAAATCCATACTTGATTCAAAATTATTTCCAAAATGTAGGCCTACAAGCGTTATTGATATAGAAAATAATATAGATTATTTTTCTGAGATTGTACGTGAAACAACCAAGCAGATCACCCCGAACATTAATCCAAGAAATGATAATCTAATAATTCCGCAAGAGATTAAGAAGCTAATTGCACAGAAACGAAGAGCAAGACGAACCTGGCAACATTCTCATCTACCAACGGATAAGACATCGCTTAATCATCTCAATAACACGCTGAGGAAAAAAATGAAAGAATGGAAGAATTGTACATTCAGGTCGTATATATTGCAGTTAAATAGGTACGATAATTCTATATGGAAACCAATCAGAAACAAAAGTAAACCCCTACAACAAAACCCTCCTCTGAAAATAACCAACCAAACGGATTCATTTGGGCAAAAAGCAACGAAGAAAAA